AGAGTGATTTTAAAGTTCTGCCCTTCTTTTTCAGGTTGCGTCGTAAGATGGAAAAGAATGTTTCTGTGATGACGATGATATTCAAGGAGTCCTCACCTGGCCACCATGCCAGGTGCAAAGAGGATGACATTGTTATTGCTATGGACAGTGCCACAAACCGTGTCCTTCACTACCAGAGAACCCAGGGGCTGAAACGCTTCCGCTTTCCTATGGTGCGTCTGGAACCTGACGGGTGGAAAAGGGCTGCAGTAGTGAAGCAGCCCACCCCAAGGAGGAGGTCCTCCTTGACTGAGGGCTGGGGAACTGTGCTTGCTGCTTCTTTTGGAGGAGCAGATGATAGGAAGTAACTCTGGGTAAACTGGCTTTTTTTCCTTTAACCTTTATTTGAGGCTTGGTGAAATTGTGCTGGGACACACATGTTTGGGACTCATTTCAGAGTTTGAAGATGGGGCAGACATATTTCTCACAATGCAGTTTTTGCATTTGTTTGATTCCTTTTCTCCATGTGAAACAGGGGAGGTGGATGATTTGTGCTGTCGCAGGGGTTCCCAAATTGGGATGCATATTCCACTGTTGTACACAAACCATTTTGAAGTGGCACTGAGCCTGGCACGGGAGGTGGAATAACAGCAGGTGCAAGGAGTAGTACCGCTTATTACCTCTGCCTGTACTGTTCACCTAATAAGGTAGTAAATGCTCTGTAAATGTCTGTGGAGGCACTTTCTCCAGTGAGATAGAAGGACCTTTTTCTTTTTGTAACTCAGAACTAAGACTGTGATTATATGACATTTTCATCCCCAAATCAGTAAATTATTTTTTACCCTCAAATGAAAGCACAAATCACAGTAGGAAGTGAAAAAGGAAAAACCAAAACAAACAAAACCCAACAACATCAAAAAATCAACCCACAGCTCTCAAAATCCACAGGGGGTATGGAAGCTATGAATATTGCATTTTGATTTATTAATGTTCTTTGTATATTTGTAGCTCCCAACGACTAAGGTAAGGAGCCTCCTGGAGGAGAAGTGATTGTTTGAAGTACAAGCTGTTTCTTGGAGAGCTGCGCTGTGTAAGGACGAGGGCAGTCTCTGCTGACTGACATGCAGCTCTGTGTGTGACCAGGCTGTGCCTGCTAAGCTTGTGTCTCAGTGTAGATTGTAGATTTCTCTGATCTTCAGAACTTCAGCTAGTTTAATAGTTCAGTCAATACTGCCCCTGGCTTATTAGAAGGCTTTTGGGATTCGGTACTGCGTGAGGCATTCAGATCATCTGAATTTTTTCCTCTTTCAGAATCTGTTCCAGAACTCTATTGAGAACGTTGAGGTGCGTCATGACTTGCTGGATTGTCATATCAGCATCTGCTCTCCACAGGTGAGCTCTGCCCTTCTGTGGGTCCAAAATTCAATGTGCATTGCTCCCTTTGCCCTGCTGGTGTGCAGGGGATGCATGTGGCCTGAGCATACTAGGTTTGGAAACCAGAGCTCCCAGTTGTGCTCAGTGACTTGAGCTGAAAGCCTGAGTGATCGCGTGGTGCTGCTCTGTGGACTGTATGGGTGCTCAGTCTGTATCTGGCATCCACTGCTTGAGCCCAGGCAGAACTAGACAGTGGATGCATCGGTAGACTGGCTGATTTGGCACAGGATGAAACTATTCTGGAAAATAAGCAATTTCACTTTGAGTATAGTAACATCTGTGGAGCAGAGGTGATGGCTATGCTATGGAAAAGTGTCAGTACTTGCAAGCTGGTACCATGTTAGGGTAACATTCAGGGTTATTCCAGCCCAGGCTTGCTGACATCTCTTCCACATCTGATAAAGCTGGTCTACAGCCTTCCTTTGGGAGTGAAACTACACAGTGAGGCTGGGCAGATTGCTTGAAAATGCTAAAGCAATGTTTTGCCCCTTCTGAAAACCAGAATCTGTTCATAGTCTCCGTTAGGAGGAGGAGATGGGAAGTTCAGCACTCCTAGCAGAAGGAATCAAAGCTTTATTCAAGGCAAGAGCATCACTTTCCTATGCTGCATTACTCGGCTCTCTGAGAACAACTGAACAGCCATTAATTTTCTGTCTTCCCTGGCAACGTTTTGTGCTGACTATATTATTTCCTTATATTTTATTCCTGGCAGGTGGCTGAGCTGTTCACAGACAATTTTGACTACCAGACACGGGATGACTTTGTGCGTGGTCTGTTGGTGAATGAGGAGGTAAGGAGAGAGTTGTTACAAGGGAGATCCTATTACCTTGCATTAGAGAATCTTCTGACACACTCCTGCTTGTCTCCCAGGTCCTGGGGAACCAGATCCATATGCATGTAACAACAGAAGAGTATGGTGCCCATATATGCAACCTGCTAATGTACGAAGCTGTGTGCTCTGACATCATCCGGCGCTGGGTTTACCCTTTGACTCCAGAGATGAACTTCACCGATGACAAGAATCAGAGTTACAGCCATTCTAAACACAACATTTACCGAGGGGTGGATGTTAGCCTCGGCCACGGCAGCGTGCTGGAAGAGAATGTACTCATTGGGCAGGGAACGGTCATCGGCAGCAACTGCTCCATAACAAACAGCGTTATTGGGCAGAACTGTAGGATAGGTGAGTATAAGAATGGGGGACATGCAGGCCTTGCCAGGCAAGGGCACAGGTTGTTGGGATTTAGTTTTTAGAGTGCATTTGGCTCCGAGAGAGGATGATGGGTGGGTACTGATTGACTTCTAATGGGAAGAAAGGAGAAAAGCTTGGTTTTCCAGCAGAGGAAATAGATAAAAGTTTTCAGGGTACCATAATGATGCTGAAAGGTGGAAGGCACTTCATGCAAATAAGTTGTTTCTGCAGTAGAGAATGCATGACCTTCACTGATCTAGAGCTATCACCCACCAACATCCTGTAAATGAGGGACATCTGTCCCTGGTTTTTTGTGAGCTGCTTGGTACTCCTTCTTCCTACTCTTGGCTGGAATTTTTTTGTGATTTGGCTGTATCTGTGCAAAACCAAGACATTAGTTGTTACTGTCAACTTGTTAAGTCTCTGTAGAGAACAAACTTGTCTTTTAGCTTTGGGTAAGAAGTGGCTGTAGGCCTCTAAGGCCAATTTTTACCTTTCATCTAACATGCATCAAGGGTATCGGGATTCAGTAAGATGCTTTCTAGTGGACTCAGCAGTGTGGGAAAGCAGCAAACTGCCTTGCTCAACATATTTGTGCTTGGTGATGTATAACAGGTGATAAAGTCATTTTGGACGGAGCTTTTCTCTGGGACAGAGTACACGTAGCAGATGACGTGGAGATCTGCCATTCTGTTATCTGCGATGAAGCTGAAGTGAAGGAGAAAGTAAAGCTAAAGCCCCACTGTGTCCTGTCTTCTCAGGTGAGCTGTATTTATGTCTGTTCTGCTTTCTGCCTTTCTTGGCAGGTTACTAGACTTACACTAGACCATACCAGAATACAGGGCTGCTCCAAGCCTTTTTGCAGAGGTGGGGCGTATGCTACTGCTCCCACCTTTTTCTTCCTTTTGTTTGGCTAGGGTAGTATGGTATGTGGTCTAGCAGCGCTGATGTCTTCAGTTATACCTGTTAGTGTAAAACTTGTCTGGAGCAGCTGTTGTCCCTGCTGGTGGAGGTACAAGGGGGCAATCAGGGTATTTCTTCATTAAGATATGTTGCACATATTTGCAGGTAGTCGTAGGTCCTGGCATCACTCTTTCTGAGGGCACAGTGATCTCTCTGCACCCACCAGATGAGGAGGAAGAGGAGGATGACCAGTTCAGTGATGATTCTGGCGTGAACAAAGAGGAAAGCAAAGTGAAACTGAAAGGTATGAGAGTCCCTGGCTCCGGGCAGTCAGGCTATGCAGAGGGCTTTGCCTTCCATGATTTTCTGGGGGCTTTCCCCTCCCCCCATTCTGGACTCTGCAGTGCCAGGCTAGAGCTTAGTGCTGCATTCAGCTTGGAACATGTGTGTTTTCAGTAGGGCAAGCAAGGACATTCGGCTCAAGTTGGACAGTGAGATGTACCTCAGTACCCCAGTATTAAAATCTTTGGAGACTCAGCCATTTTCCATTTTTCTTAGAGTAGGAGCCTTGTAGGAGACAATAAGCTGAAGTTGGAAGAAATGTTCAGTTCAAGGTGGGTTGCAAGACCTATGTTCTCATACCTGGACTGTGTCCAAGGACTTTGTCCTTGTGAAATACTGTTTCTACCAGTCTGGGTTTGTTGAGGGATCTAAACATGGTCAGCTGAATGTTGCTGCAGCTGAATGGGAGGAGTAAGTCAGTCACTTGTCAAGGCAAGTGAGAAGATAAAAGCTGAAATCCATATGCATCTGCAGGAATCCCAGCTCCCTCCTGATGAAGGATATTAGGGGCAGTAATACGCAAGTTATACCAGTCTATTTCAGGTTTGCCTGTAAGCAGATCCAGTACATCTACCTCCTAATCAATGTTTCTTTTTCAGGTTACAATAAAGAGGATGTAGGCTTAGAGGGCAGAGGCTATCTCTGGAAAGCAGATGACAAGAATGAAGAGGATGAAGAAGAGCAGAGACAAAGCCTATGGGGTGAGGAAAAGTTTAGCGTAGTCACCTGGGGATGGACAGACAGACCTGTCGGGGAAACTGGCTGAGTGGGACGCTGATAATTGTGTCTAGAGTAAGACCTGGGCTTTGTGAAGCAGACTGGCTCCAGATAACATATGTGTATGGAGGCAAGGCGAGAGGTGAAGGCAGGTGGTGGACCAGATTCCCTGTTTTCCTGTGCTCTGTGGAAGATGTTTATTATATCTTTGACTTACGCTAACACATACAGCTGTCTGTGCTGCGAATGGCGCACTATGGGATACCAGGCCCTCCCTTAGCGGGAATATGCTTTGGCTATTCCGGGTACTGCTGGCTCCCTTCCTGCTAGTGACAGTGTCTACTGACATTGCTCCCTCATGAGTCAGCAGTCTGCACAAAATGCATTTGCTTCTGTCCCTGTCCTTCATTGTCTGCCTGCAGACTCTTAAAAAGTCCCATTATCCTAGTGCCAGCTGTAGCATTCCCTCTGCAGCAAATCTAATCATCTGGACCTGTAAGTGGAAGCTTCCTTGCAAGGACAGATAGTTGCTAACTTCATTGGGAAGTCCCTGGGACACCTGATTCCTCGTGCATATGACAGCTGCAGCTTTTGAGTGTTGAATGCTGCATCTTCTCTTCTTCATCAGGCCCAACCATGCATTCAGAGGAAGAGAGCGAGTCAGACAGCGACATGAGCATGGGCTCTGAGGAGCCAGACAGTCGGGCAGCATCCCCTCAGCTAGATGACATCAAAGGTGAGAGAGAGGCTGTTAAGAAGTATGGTGAGTCTGCAGATGATGCAGTGAGTGAGATTTGTGCTGCTTTCTCTAGGTATATTGGAAAATTTGTGGATGTCTAATATATTTGTTTCCTGACCTCACTTCCTGCATTTTCTACAGAGTTCTTTAATATCCCCTGTATTGCTGTTAACCCAAGGCAGCCAAGGATGAGAAGCTAGACAAAGATCCTTCATCTTTCTCACTCCTCATCACTGGGCCTTCATGAAAGTGACCTCCCTGAGTTGTCTGTTTAAATGGCAGTGCCATTGCCATTGTGTGAAGGTCCAGCAGAGTTTCCCTGTGTGGACAGCTTACTGCTGTAACCATGCTGGGGAATTAAATGTCCTTGTAGGAGCTGCCTCTTTTGGCAGATGTTTTGGTTTTCTCTTTTGTTGTGTTAAATTTACCTGGATTTGAAAGGGGTTCAAGCCAAATTGGAGGAAAAAAAAAAAACTTTTTCACATTAAAATGTCTCCCCGAAGGAAATTAAGCCAATAAATTTTAGGTTTGAATTCAAATCTTTAGTTAGGGGAAGATGAGGTTTGTCTGAATAGGAAAAGCTAGATTTTGAAAGTACAATAGAAACTCTGCTCTAAAAGGTTGCAGAGCTAAATAGCTTTGTACTGGTTTGCGTGGATAGATAATGATATCTAGTAGGTTGTCTCCTTTATTTGAATTGTATTCCACTATTTATAGGTATAGTTGATGTGGGTTTGTGCCAGCTTATGAAGAACAAACAGACATCTGTGTCAGAATGCTTCTTTTGTTAAGGGCATAGGTTCTTCCGTAATGAACAGTTTGAAGAATCTGTGCTTTTCCCTCTCATGTCTAACTACCTGTCCTTTCTTTCATTAGTTTTCCAGAATGAGGTTCTGGGTACGTTACAGAGGGGCGAAGAAGAAAACATTTCCTGTGACAACCTGGTCCTGGAAATCAACTCCCTCAAGTGAGTGTTCCCTTAGGGATGCTGACCCTTATGCTGAACAGTTGGGTTTGACAGCAGATCTAGAAAGAAGAGGAGAAACCATGTGGATACCCATGTTTGATTGTTAAACATTAATTTTATCAGTATAGAGCATGAGAAATGCAGATTAGAGATCATGACTGAATGATGACAGGAGTTGATGGAGAGCGCCAGCTGCATCTCTAGCATCCTCAGTGGTTAGGCTTTTCCTGCCCCGGTTCTGTAACAAGAGATTGAATTGCTATTAAGTAACTGTGGACTGAAGAGAGCAAGCCAGTTCTTGGCGCAGGCTGCCTGTAAGTTCATGCAGGGGCTGCTGCGCTCTGCATTCTGGCATTCAACCAGCTGCCTGCAGCTGGGGCTGTGGTGTGGTTTGTCCATTCTGTTTTACAGCAGCAAGTCTAGAACACATAACACAGTGCCTTTTACCTAGTATTTCTCAAATACAAACCTGTTTCCCTTTTGTGCAACAGTATGCCTACAGCACTCTAGTAAATGTGAGGGTGCTGTTCCATTGTGATAGCAGATTTTCAGGACTTGTGGCCTTATGCAGGGCCTGATGCAATGCAAGGTGGTTTTATTGCCTGAATATTTGGAAAAACAAACAAATAAAAAACGAGTCTGGAAGATTAAAATCAAATTTTCTGCTGTATCTCTGTGAAAAGCCACAGTCTGCAGAGATCAGATAGTGTGAAATGTTGGGTTTTTTTGCCTTTTTCCTCACAGGTATGCATATAACATTGGCCTGAAGGAGATGATGCAGGTGCTCAGTAAAGTGATCCTGGAGTTCCCACTGCAGCAGCTGGATGCAAACCTGGACTCCCAGAACTATTTCTCAGCGTTACTTCCCGTGAGTCCTGCCTGCTCCATTTGACTCTTCTTTGGGCTTGTCTACTAGTGTGTAAGAGTCTGTCTGGATGCCCCAGGTAGTTCCTGGCTGAGAAGTCTTTTCGGTTAAGCCTGAAGCCACTTGAACTCCTTGAGTTCATGAGCCTCTCTGTCTTCTATAGAAGAAAAAGTGAACTGAAACTATTATACCTGCTTGGCAGAACTCAGCTGAGACTATAGGTGTGGGGAGCTCTACTTCACTACCTATGGTTGTTTCTGTCTCCCGTGTGTGATAGTAGAAGTGTATCACTTGTAGAAGAGAGAAGAGAGGGACTGTTAGAGATGTCTTTACAGGCTTGCATTCCAGGAACCTGGTTCCAATCCATCATAAGCCTTGTCCCTGGGGCAGCAGGGAGCGGTTCTCCCCAGGTAGTTCCTGGCTGAGAAGTCTTTTCGGTTAAGCCTGAAGCCACTTGAACTCCTTGAGTTCATGAGCCTCTCTGTCTTCTATAGAAGAAAAAGTGAACTGAAACTATTATACCTGCTTGGCAGAACTCAGCTGAGACTATAGGTGCGGGGAGCTGCACTTCACTACCTATGGTTGTTTCTGTCTCCCATGTGTGATAGTAGAAGTGTATCACTTGTAGAAGAGAGAAGAGAGGGACTGTTAGAGATGTCTTTACAGGCTTGCATTCCAGGAACCTGGTTCCAATCCATCATAAGCCTTGTCCCTGGGGCAGCAGGGAGCGGTTCTTTCCCAGTGGGATCCTTTCCAAGGTCTTACTTGTCTGCATGCTGTAAATAGTGCCAATTTTTTTCCAGCCAAATGCAAAGGCACAATATTGTTGTCTTTGAGTGAAGATACAGAGTTCTGTTATGTCTCTAAAGAGATGGGTTGTATAATTGGGTGAGAGCAATTTCTATTTCCTGACTTAAGGGAGACAAAATAGGGTAAAATCTGCTTTAAAAAGCAGGCAGTCTTATCTTAATGGTTTTGTTGATGCAAGCTGAAACCGTTGTAGTAATTTTGTCTCTTTGCTATAGCCCATTTATGTATTTGAGTTTGCAAACTCTACAGGTTACGAAGGCACTCCTTCAGTATGAATGGGTCTGACACATGTTTGGGAAGGACTAGTTTAATTTCTTTTAGGAGATGGAGCTATAGAGGAACACCAGACATCCTCATAATCCTTTCTCTGAGGAAGTATGTGCTTTCAATTGATGGGGAGGGGTGGAAAACTAATTCTTCTTTATGTAGGTGTAAGTGTGGCACCTAATTAATCTCCTGGACGTGTGGAGATGCCTTCTGTAGGAAACATCCATGTGAACTGATCTGTTCATCAGATGGCTTAGTGAGATTTTGCTGTTCACTCTGTTTAAATTCTGCTTGCTTTTGTTCATTTTTGCAGACTGTTTTCTTGAATAGCATGTCCTGTCCTGGAAAAAGACAATTGAAGGAGGAGGACTGAAGAGAACATTAGAGCAGGTGTTAGACTCTAAGTGGAAAGCAGTACATCTAGACAACAGGTTATGTGGAGTTGGTAGCTATGTAGGATGGTTTGGTTTTTTTCCAGCTAGGATATGGCATCTCTTCCTGTCTCCCAGATTGGGCTCCTAATCTAGCATGAGTAGGACAGGAGAACTTCACTGCAGCACCCAGTCAGAAGACGTTCTAGTCTGAGATAAAGGAGATATAAATGCATAATGTTTTGCGTAATTGCCCCAAACCCCTTAGAAGCTAAAGACAATGGAAGTACATGAAGGGCTTACCTTTGGGTAACTTTGTCCATATATATTTCATCATAGGAAAGCTGATGCTCGTGTTTAACAGCAGAGACAGCAAATCAACTCACCTTTAGTGAGAAGCGATAATAATCTAGATGTAATATTCAGGGTGACCATGCCCCATGTCGTGGACAAGTGGAATTTCTCTAGGCAGGGAATTGTGTGGCATGTGCATTTATGAAACACAAATTATCCTTAGATTTATCAAAGAGAGCCAAGTGTCAAACCAGTTGACCATCATGGCGGCCAGTTTCTCCAGATGATCCTTTGTAAAGAACAACCAGGACGTTTCTTAGAGAATCCTTCTCTGGGACAGTTTTGTGCCTCGGTGTCTTTACTGCGTGCAGAATTGTTGCGCTGGCTTTCTGTGCTGAAATCGGCAGGAAGGCAGTATCCTGGTGAGGTATACTGTTAATGTTCAATTGCACGCATGATGTTAAGTCACCGTTACAATAACCCAATATTCAAAGGCTTATTAAACAGACATCGATGGACTTCCTGGGCAGCATCTTTGTGTGTATTTACCAGCAGTGCTCTGAAGAGAGGAGACCAGTTCTTTGGGCGGAACATGCATGTTTGTACAGCATCTGAAATGGTGGCTTTTCTGCAACTTGTGGTTCCCTAGCTAGTAAAAAGTACACTCCCTTAATTTACTAATACTTACTTACACCCTGAGAATCCCAAGCACTAGCTTGGTATAGGTTAGTACATAATGAAAGCATGTAGCTGCAGTGTGTAGCTATGCAGCTAAAACTGCCTCAGTCAATAGCGGTACTAGGCTGAGATCTGCTTATGATGGTTTACATACGGCAAAGTGTTATTTTGTATGAGATGGGGATACTTGCATTCTGAGAGTGGTGAATATCAGAAGCCCACTGAACTTTACACAACTGTTTTACGTTTCTCGCTCTCTTTGTAGCTCGACTCTAAGAGATGCTGAAGGAAGATGGGTTGCTTGTGTAAGACTGATGGTAGAGCAGTCCCAGACAGCTCAGGAGGGGAAATTGTGGAAATGCCATAGTTATGATGTATGGTTTGACTTGAAACCACAGTATGTGCTCTGAAGTGCTGGCCCCTGAGCATGAAGCTCTTAAGTGTTGCAGCAATTTTAGGAAACAAGCATCCGGTAAAGGATATGCCCGTGGGTATTTTTCAGATGGAACATGGAGGTTTGAGAAAGAGTTATCCAGATCAATGTATGTCAGGCATCTTGTTCGGCTCTTGAACAAGTTGTAAAGCAGAGATGGTACAGAAAACCAGACCTTTCCTAGAACTGTAGACATGATTTGAGCAAACATGGCTGAAGCTGCTGATAAACTGAAGGCTGTGCTTCTGTTGTCACTAAAGCAGCATCAAACAAGGTTATGTAGGTGAGGATGTCTAAAGGGAGCCGGGGGAGGCAATATAGCAGTTCAGTTTGCTGAGCTGGCCAGTGTCTGCACTTGCGCCTGGCAGCTAGTGTGTGTGGTGCACCTCTTCAGGTTTCTGTTAGGGAGCCTTACTCTTTTGTAATGTCATGCAAGCAAACACAACATGGGATCGCTTATTCAGGGACCAAAAGGATCTCTGCTTTCACTGAAGCAATTTATGGTGATCAGCACAGATGCTGTTATGGTGTAAGAGGTCAGAATTATAGCTTTGTGCCTTGTACCTTCATGATGGTGTTCTGTGCTGGAGGTAGGGCTAAAATAGGCCTGGTGTCAAGACTGTCCTTCTGACAAAAGAAAAGTGGATCACAAACCTCTTTGAAGTTGATACAGCATCATTGACCAGATCCGATGAAAAATGAATCGACCTGTCAGAGGAATTTGATTGCTTTCTCCAGACTGTAGATTGTTTTGAGGAGTTACCTGGGTAGAGTCAAAGCCTGGAAAGTTACGATATTGTCTATAGGGCTCTTTGTCAGGTATCTTCTCCCATTTTTCAGTCTTTTATTCAATCTAAGATAATTGCAAGCTTCTAATTCCTCATTTCAGATTTTCATGAAACTCCCAAAACAGCCTCTCTGGTCATACAGGCTCATAGGCATGTTTTTGCTAGGGGCTCTGTGGGGCTGAGCCCTACTTTCACCATTAGCACCAGTTACAGTACGGTGCACGTTCTCGACCTGAGATGGTATATTTTTTCTTCTTTCCCTTTCCCAGCAGTAGGCATACTGGATTGAGTCCTGGGGTTGTGAGTGTTTATAGCTCTGCTTTCTTTATAAATAACTTGCTTTCAGAAACTCAATAGCTTCTGGTTAGAATTGTGCCCGCTTATGATTTAAAGGCGTTAACAGAAAGGTATTACAAAATATTTCTTAGCCCAGAAGGAACTTGCTAGTAGCTTTACTACATTTGAGGTGAAGAATTCCAAAGGATAATAAAAATGCAGGAGATGGTTGTAGAGGAGGGAAGAGTGTTTAGGATTAAGCATTTTGATAAAGGCTAAAATACTTTCTGGAAATATGCCATGCAACCCTCAGTTTTTTGTTGTGATACCGTGATGATTAGGATCATTCTGTGCTGTTACTGTTGTTCCTTGAGCCAGTCGATGTACTACTATACAGATCAGTTTGTTTGTGCTAATCCCCTTCTTTGTTTCTGCTTGAGGCATGCAAATTCCAGCATGGTTGCATAGCAAATGTGTCTGAAGAGGTGATGGAGTATAGTACTATGGAGTAGTTGAGTGCTATTTCCTAGTACAGGCTACCTTTGGTAGTCCACGCTGGCCTGGGTTCTTGCTCCGCTGTGTGTCCTGGAGCTCTCCCTCTGGCAGGGCTACTGCCTGTTAACAACTGTCCCGGACAGAATAATGCTGATTAACCCTGAATATAGGTGACTCAGAGCTTCCTCATCACACCCCAAGCCCCTGTGAATTACCTATTTCCCTTCAAAACAGACCAGATGTGTTCTCTAAGGAGACACTGTTGAAGGCACAGCAAAACAGTATATCTGTACGGGCATGCCAGGGATGTAGTTGCAGGCATGCCTGCTGTTGAATTAATCCATTTAAAAAGATGTGGAACTCTGATTTAAATTTCCTACAATGTTTTTGTAGGATGGTCTGGTCATGATAGGGCCAACGAGGAATTTTTGTATCTTACCCTAGTTCTGATACCTTTTAAAATTGTTATGGACAGGGGTCTAAGTATCTTTATTACCTCCTATCCCAGATTCAGGTCAGTCTGTGCTTTTTTACAGAACTTTCCCTGCTGCTTGCTTTCCACATATGTACAACAAGTGAAAGAGCTGTGGGGGACTCAGACAGAAATACTCTTTGAAGAGGCAGCACCAAAATCATTAAACTAAAGACTTCATAAAAAATAAACCTTGGAGGAGAGAACTGAGATCAGCTAATAGTGTAACAACTTCTTGCCCTTCATCCTTCCCACCTATTCCCTGCAGCAGGCTCCAGGATCCAGACAAGCCTGTAGGCACACAGCAAATATGTGACTTGCACTTAGGGGCTGCTCCACTGCGTTCCCGTTTTGGGGGTGGCTATTTTGCACTGTCCACTTCTACTCAGCTGGTAATTATCCCAGCACTATCTTTTTCTCTTTTTTCTTATTTGCTCTGCTGCTTTGAAGGAAAGTTCCACTGAAATGTCAGCTGCTCTGTGGGGGGAAGGTTTGAGTAGCATGTACGCACCTCTCCTTATTGGTCTGCTGTGAAGTGATTTTCTTTGAGTACCAGACTCCATTAAACACGCTTATTGTGATAATCTAGTATTCCATCCAGAGAGGCAAAACCAAGAAAGCTAATGGATATCCTCAAAGCTGCTTAGTAAAACCAGGTTCTATCTGCACATGTGAGACTTAATAGCATCTGTTTCATGGACAGAGTGGGGCAAATACATTAAGTGGTCAGCTGAATGGTTTCTTAAAATGCTTCCCTGCGTCAGTTTCTTAGTGCAACACAGCTGAGAAACAGGGCTGAGTGCACACGTCCGTCTCATAGCTCAGGAACTCTTCTGTGTTTTTCCCCTGCAGCTGTTGAAGAACTGGACCCCATTGTTTAAGAACTACATAAAACGGGCATCAGATCACTTGAATGCCTTATTTGCCATTGAGGAATTCTTCCTGGAACATGACAGTCTCTGCACATCAATAGCTAAAGTGAGTATCCACTCCCAACTCTGAGGACCTGTTTTTGCTAGATTCGTGGTGAAGTGCATCCTAATTGCATCATTGCCTTGTCTGCATTAGAGGAGAGAATTTTGGGGTCTCAGTGGAGAGGGCATATAGAAAATCTGTCTGTAACAATTGCTTTAAAAAAAAAAAAAAACAACTATGCCTGCCTGTGCCTCTGAGGGAGCACAGCTGAGGGTGAGTATTAATTACCAGCATGCAGCCTGAAGGGAGCTATTATTTTGCAGCTTCTAACCTAGATGCCCTTGTTGTGTGATGCTGGAAGAGGCAAGGCCAGAGGCTTGCTTTAGGAAGAGCTTTACTTCATTTGTCTCTCCATGGTCCCTGGGATCTAATTGCCAAATGGTTTACCCTATTTTAGAGTGCAAAACAAGTAAAGCTGGGAATAAGGGTGGGATTTCTTATTCAGGCTGAGCTAGTTACGAAACTGGGAATAAAGGGGAGCTGACATGTGGCTTATTACCTATCTCCCCACTTCTGAGAGTTTTCAGTATGTTCCTCCTCATCCTCCTTCACAAATATTTTGTCCCTGCGTTCTCTCTGCCCTATCACACTGAGAGCATTTGACTTGGATCGCGAGTCTTTCCTTTAGCGGTGTCTCAGGAAGCCCCTGTCTCTCTTGGAAGAGCTCTCCTAGAGCCTGCTTAACTCTTGGTTCCTCAAGAAAGAATAATCCTAACTTCTGCTATCAGTGCTTCTGGCTAATGGCAAACCACTTAGGACTGGAGCCAAAAGCCTTCAGTTTGGTGAGCCAAAATGTCCTTGAATTACAGCAATTGTTTGGCATGTGTCCATTGTTCTAGGGGCCTGGGTTTCCCTGGAGGCTGGGAATTGAAGTGACACTTTATATTTGGAGTTGGCAGCCAGCTTTGTCAGTGCTGTGCCGCAAGGAGACTGACCGCAAAGTGCCTGCTCTGCTTGAGCACAAAGGCACCCTGAGAAAGCATGATTGCATCTCACCCTTGCTGCACTGGGCAGGAGTTTGAGCTGATGAATGACCAATTGCTTTGACGCCTGCCATAAGGCACTTTCAAGAGAGAACTGGCAGGAGGAGGGAGCCCGGGGCAGAGTTGGGTAGATTCATGCTCTTCTCTGCACATGTCACTGTTGTGCGTAAGTGGGCCTGCATAAGAGTTGCTTGTTAGATCTGCTTTAGGGATGGGTTTTGGGATGCTTTGCTTTAAAAAGAGAACTTGAACTTACATCCTCTGTGGCCCTTTGTTGCCCACAGCTCTCACGTCATACCCTGCATCCACAGAGCTGAAGCTGATGGGGCTTGAACTTTGACTCATTATGTGTCATAGCATCTAACTGTCAGGAACATAAGGCTTGGTAGGAGAAGCTTAGTTATTTTTAACAACAAAAGCAAAATGAAGCAGACTGAGTGCCTTCTGTTGAAGATGGAGCTGGGAGACACGGATTATGTGCAAACTTTGTGCTTGGACATGAGCTAGCCCCAAAAGAGTTTATAGAGAGCCCTCTTTTTCTAATTGACGCAGGTGTTGATGACATTTTACCAGCTGGAAATTCTGGAAGAAGATGTAATTCTCAATTGGTTCTCTTTGCGGGACATGTCTGACAAGGGAAAGCAGCTTCGTAAAAATCAGCGGGTAAGTCCCAAAGGTGTTTAAAGGAGGGGCGGGGGGAGAGAGAGAGACAACAGCTGCTAAAAGAAACTTTGAGTGGAGTTCAGTGCTACTGTCGCCTTCTGTGGAGCAGCTGCCATTACATGGTAGGCCAGTAACGCACCAGTGCATCGAACACGAAGCAACACAACTTTGTTCTCCAGAACAGACATTTCCGTGCGTTCTGCCATAATCATCCTGTTTGAGGAATGGAGGTAGTAGGAGAGGGAGATTGTTTTTAGCGGGCTCTCTGTAGCACGAGGCCAGCACTTTCTGGAGTAGCAGCACAGCTTCTCTTAAGCCAACACCCATTTGAAATGGGCTTTAGGCCAATGCCCTGTGCGCTGGCCCCATGCAATTCCTTTGAAGCTTTCATTCCTGGCTCACCAGTCCCTTCGCATATATTTCTAAGCGTTTGCTGTACTGAGTGGTTTCATTTGGCTTGTGTTGCAAGGAGCATAAAAACTTCCACCCTCCATCAGGCAGAACTTTGTGCTGCAGTTTGGCTGAGCCCCGTTCCAGTCCTCCTCCCTGGATCTAGAAGAGGAGCAGGGGAAAAAAGCCATCTCTGAAGAACTCCAACTTTGTTTAAAACCTTTGCAAAGTCAGCTCTTAGTATAGGTCAGCAGTGCTTTCAGCTGCTTATTCGAGCCCAGTTAAAAGGTAAAATGAGCTGCCTTCTTCATAGCAATTTCTCAGGGAGTAGGTTTTTCTCAGCAGTTTTCCTAACATGTCTCAGCTAAGGTGCAGCTGTTATCTCTTCTCCCTCAAGCTCTGAAAAACTCTTGAACTTCTGTCTTTTTGCTGAGCGTTGTGGGGATTGTCTAACTGGAGGAATCTCCCTCAGGAGTTTAATCAGTCTGGGTTTGTCCATGGCATCCCAGTTGTTTTTCATCTAAACTTGTGTGTGTCTCTCTCTCTCCCCCTCAATCTGCCTCTGTTTCCGTGTCTCCTAGAAATACTCTTTCTCTTTCTTGTGCATGATAGTGGTGCTCACTGACACAGTGTAGTTGAGCATTCCCAGCGTCCATTTGGTGTCACTTGTTACCCAATTACATTTCATTCTCTTTGCAGCTCCAGAAGTTTATCCAGTGGCTGGAGGAGGCAGAGGAAGAGTCGTCTGACGGCGACCAAGACTGACGTGGTGGCTCGGCACGAGAAGAGGCACTCTCACTGCCTTTCTGGGCCGAGTGGGCAGGGCAAGATCAATGCCAGTGCATGGTGTGTAGATGTGGGGCCTGACATCGAAGTGACTGACAATCCCATCATTAATTAAGTTGTGTGTTCCCAACCTTGCCACTTCCCTCCCTCCCTCACTTGCCCAGTGGCACCTTATGTTGGATGGTTGTAGCCCAGTGTAAAAAACCATAAGGGAAAAACAGGAGGTGGTGAAACCTAGAATCCCTCTGGAGCCTGGATATGATATACTATAAGCTATCTTTTGGGAGGTCCTTGTTACTAATACAAAGGGAGGAACTCGATGCAAATTCATACAACGCCCTTATAAATCTAACCATCGGGGTTGTGGAAGAGTGGTCATACAGCTAAGTTATTTGGAGTCATTGTTGCTTGTGGAGCTAAGAGAACTCCTGCTTGGCAAGGTTGGTGCGTAGGAGCACGTGGATTACGATCTGGAGTGCAGGACTGGGATTCGGGAGTTCCTGTGCCTGGAGAAGATGCAGTTGTCTGAGGATGCCCAAGGCATTTTGCAGCCTAGAAGGCACTTCTGTGATCTTTCCAAAAGGGAAAATCTCTTGCCATCTGCCGTGCTAGGATCTAACACAAGGTTGCACAGTAGAGTTGGTAAAACCATGTGTTTCCCCCTTCTGTAGAACGGGGGATAATACGTGTTCAGTTCCCCCTGCGGGGGTTGGCTAACAGTGGATGTGCACTGGCCAGTGAAATGCTGTATGGATCACCGCATCTTAGATGTGATCTGTCTTCTGTGCGTCCCCAGCTTAGCAGACATGTTTTAGAAAAGTGTCTGTTTCTTTATTTTTTTTATGAAGAGGGAGCAGAGGTGCCTGGCTCCTCCTGCTGCACCAACTACACTCGTGTTTTGCTCTGGGGGCACTGGCCGCACCAGCTGCTTTAAGGAGGATGCAAGTTCCTAAGTTCTGCTCCAGTGTGAAAAGGAGCAAATGGCATTTCCTTCAACAGCACATGCTTTGTGTTTCCACATGATTTCAGTTATAAAAGCTTGCTTCATGTCCTTTTATTTATTTGAAAATTTCCCTTCCCTCAGACAGCAGGAAAAGTGCTGCAAACCCACTGTAAAGTTCAGCAGCCGCAGAGCAACTCGGCATGCAGCAGGGAGCCAGTGTGCCTCTGGCACTTTGTTGCCAGCACAGACAATGTGTGGCAGCAATAAGGCCTTTAAGAACAGCTTTCTTGGAAGTGTCACTGTGCTGTGTTCTTCCCTGCTCTCAAAGAACAGAGCAAAAAAGGCACGGCGAGAATCAGCTTGCGTTCATAGGTGGGTTATTTGTTGGATGTGCTGACCTTGCCTCTGCCCCTTCAGGAGGAGCATCGAATAAATCCTTTGCGGGGGGGGGAATGCACTGGAGCTGCCCACTCGGGATATTTACTTGGCCGTTCCGTGGTGCCACAATTGTCAGTGAGGGGACAGCGTTGGATGCCGGAGACCAGGGATACTGCCTCTTAAAAACTGATGTTCAGGCAGGGCGATCTTGTGCACTCACACTATCAGTTGCCAGGATTGTGCGTAAATGTGCTTGTTTTCTGACATTGCAAACTCAAGTCTTGTAAATGTTGGGGAAATAGTTGGTATCTGAATTTTCTGTATCTGCCAATATTTAATTCAGGGAGCAAATAAAAACTATCCTGGTGTTACCAGCTTGTTTGCTTTGTTTGACTTTGAATTGTATGCCTCCAGTTGTGGCACGTGCCTGAGCAGGGCGTAACGGGTAAGCTCAGTAACTCATCACTACTTTTTCTTCAAGAGATTTTAAGCACATAAGAGGCAGGTAGGAAATCAGCACACCATTGAATTGGTATAAACGTTCGGTGGTAACTCATGACCTCACTGTTTACAGGTAGAGAACAGTTTAGTAAAACTTCTGAACTTAGAATCCTGAAATGGGTGAGGCTTGGTTTTGTGCAGGATTATGTTGCAAGATGAACCTTAAATCCTATGGAACCTGTTATCCTTTGCCATGCAGAGAGTTAGTGGGAATGTTGGCTGTTCGGTACTGCATCCGTGCTCTCCTGATGTTGAGGACTAAGAACTGGCGGGGAGGGGGAAGGATGGCTACAGAGCTCTTAAGTAAAACCATTTACAAACCAGCTGCAAGACTTGGTAATTTTAAAATCTCCTTGGACATCTTCCCTTTTACAATGTAAAGATGGCTTTAAAAATAGGTTTAACTTGTAGTTCTGTAAACGGCTCGGTTTTGCCAGAGGCTCTTGATTCTTTGTGCCAAGTAACAATTCCACTTTTGTTTTTTCCACATTCCTTCCTCCTTTGCTCCATAGTAGCCAACTTCTTCATGGTGTGAGCTGCTTTCTTACGCAGGGGTTAAGATCCAAGGGGAGAATGTTGCTCTATGGCCAAATATCCTTATCCTTCAGGCCTCGGTGGTGTGTGTGGTGGGGTGGTTTTACAGGTGCCAAGAACAGAGTAGCAAAAAGGAGACAAAGTAGGACACCTGATACTATCCAAGGTGGAGTTCTGGCATGGTGCAGCATCCTTACGGGCAGGTAAGTGTATACTTTTTAAAAGAACATTAATCGCGTTGCTTAAGTATAGGGTGAGCTTGATGGTTTCTATTGCTTTCAATCAAGATTTGTAGTTTGTTGGAAGACCAGAAATGCCTTTGAGAGCAACCTTGATTGCGCAATCGTCGCTATCCATCTCTTTGAGCAATGTAAGCAGTATTTTTCTTTTTTCTAAGGCCACAGTAGTCAACTTGTCTGGCTTCCCGTCTGACATGATGGATGGATGAACGTCACCTGGTGTTCCTGTATCAAACCCGTAACTTCAGTTAACAATAGCGCACCTTTTAGAAAAAGGTAGTATTTTTGTGTTGTTCAAAGGTGTAAGTGATGGAACTCAAGTACATCCACCTCTGCTTTGGGCTGTTCCGAGATGCACTAAAATGCCTGGAGCCTGTTTACTCTGTAAGGAGAAGCAATGCCACCAATGCTGCAATTTTTAAATGTAGGCATAAGCCAACGGGCTGTTCAGAAGCCCTTCCTTGTGGACCTAGAGTGCTCAGCACGATCCCCTACTGCTCATTTCTTTGGCTCTGTGTTCTTAACCTCCATTCGTTAAGAGTGAGTCATATTTCACAAGACCTCTGCGAGCAGTTAAATCAATCTATCGATTGAGTCTATTCAATCACTTGGCCTGTTTTAAAAGAAAAGGCAGCTGTAACAATGAGATTTCATCTCCTACCACCCTGGGGGTGTGTGGCACCCCTCCTCTGGGCTGCATGCGCTCCCTTGGGAGCTCAGCACTTCAGAAAATTGCCCCTTTTGTAACAAAGGTGTCTAACGCGTACGATACAGGCTCCAAGGTGCATCCGCAGCTGTGCTGGGAGGTGGGCAAGAGAGTGGCCCTGTCAGGGGAAGACTATAATTCTTTCACATGGGCCCAGCTTTTGGGGCAGGGAGGTGTTGCAAAAGGACTTTAAGATAAGCTCTGTCAGGGTTGACACAGTAAGAAGCAGCTTAAATTAAACTTTTCCATTCCTGACCTGGATTCTTCTTTCCAGGTACGCCGGCTTTTACCACAGAGCTCTGAGCATGAGGAAGTGACAATCTTCCAAGAGCTGATGTGGAAACATGGGAGAGCCTCACGTCTCTTACAACTTCTGCTTACCTGAAGTCTTCCCTTGATTTTTTTTTTTTTTTAATTTAATGTCAGATTCTTCACCCAGTCTAGCAGTGCTGCCCAGATAATTGCTAGCAATGCCTGCAGGACTCTTTCATGCATGAGGAGGCTATTTAGCTCACACCTGCCTGCCAGCCTGAGGAGCTTGGCTCTGTTCCCTATAACATCTCTTAGGCTCCTCTTCCTACGGCAGGTGAGTCTGGCGCTGAGGGCTGGTGATCGAGTCTCGCGCCCCATGCAGGCCCACGGTGTGGTTCTTCTTCTGCATTCGTTCCTTCTAATCCAGGATGGTGCAAGGTGGTTCTTGCGCTTCCTGGTGGTGGGTGTTCCCCAAGCTCCGTCCACCCCAGCTTTGCTCTTGGCCGCAGCTCCAGGAAACTGCTGATGGAGATGGTTCCTCGGCGCCCCTTGGGTGCTGGCGAGGTGTCCAGGGGGGAAGCCAGCCAGCCCAAGACTGCTGCAGCACAGAGGCAAGTCCTAGGGGCTGGGGTCACAGTGCTGATGACTGTAGGTAAGAAAGCGACAGGGTCCGGGGAGAGAGAGGATGGGGAAGAAACCACAGAGCCAAGGGGCTGTTGGAGCTGATGTGTGCACAGCTGAAGAGGCTGCAGTATGTAGAAAGGAGGATGCTCATGAAGAGCAGAGGAGGGAGTCTGTGTGGTGAGGAAATGAGGCTGGGGAACTTGAAGGGACACTGCGGTGTCCAGTGCCTGAGTATCAGGGATGGTTGTTGGATGGTGATAAGGGGTTTGGAGGGAAGCCACAGCTGGAGAGGAACTGGAGTGGGAGGTACCGTGCTCCTCTTGTGCAGCCGAGTCCCTGTGTGGGGTGGCCATCAGAGACAGAGTATGGGGAGTTCAAAGGGACCTGGACATGGGAGCACAGGGTAGAGCAGGATATGCCTCGTGTTCTGTAAGCTGTACTCGAGGGGCATGTAGTTGTATGAGGAGCGTCGGGAAGGCTGGGAGGTGTGTGAAAAAGGACCAGGGTTGCAGAGATGGAAGGGGAGGCCTGGGGTGCGTACATGAGAAGCAATGGAGGTTGCGGGCTGCAGGAGCACATGTGGCAGAGGAACGACCACGTGTGTGAAGCAGCATCAGCGAGTGTAAGAGGGGATGAAAGCTGAATGGGGGGGGGAGCCTGGGAGGGGTATATGGGCACATGCCAGCTCGCACTGGGAATGTGGGTGCATCAGGATTACTAGGCTGTATATAAGGGGACGTGGATGTAAAGTAAAAATCCAAACACACTCACAGGTGGTGGGGCTGTGCAGGGCCAGGGAGGTGATGAGGGGTGCAGTCCCCGGGGGCCATGCACCCAGATGGGGTGCAGCAGGAGCAGCGGTGG